AAATTCGTAAGGCGGTTCAAGAGCACGGCCCAGACCGCTCTGTGATACGTGCCTGGACTACGGGACCTGGCTCCATCCGCGCCCTAACCTGCTTTCTGTAATACCAAATGCAAGCCCGCCCTGGTGTGTAGATTCAAGCTCTACGCTAGAACATGTTTCAAAAGGCGTATGGCAGGGCATGCCCATAAGTTGTGGCAACATATATTCACAAAAAACCCGGAGAAGCAGCACCTAGTCAGTGATTCAGTACCCTTGCTGCAGCCAGAGAAGTCAGGAAAGCCGCCGTCTGGAGAACTCGTGGAATTCTCGCGGTATCGGCAATAAAAAGGGACAAAGGGATGGGCGCCTATTCACCACTCCTTCACTCGCTGCCTCAATCATCCGGAATTCGACTAAAACTTTTTCACCTGGCTTTTTTCGTTGGGCAATCTACCTTTGCTTAAAATTAGTCTCCGTGGGTAATTTGACCTCCTTAACACCTTGATGACAATTACGTTTTGGCGGAATAACGCCTCCTGGGACAATGTCGTTCTTTCGCATCCGTCCGCTATGAGCCACCGATGGCTCATATTATCCTTCGATAAACTACTTTTTTTGGCCGCAACTGTCAAATTTCCCGCGAATGATCAGGCACGTTCGTAGAAGAGTGCTATTACCAACCATCCTTTGACCACGGTGGAACTATTGCAAAGACCCCTCTCCCCTCGATCATGCCAACTTTCAACACGATCGTGATTTCACAAACTTCATACCACAACTTCTGCTTCTGTGTTTTTTTTTTGCTTTGTAGTCTTTCACATTCACTCCATTATGATCAACTTCCCTCCAGTGCCGCTAGAAAAAAGAACTTGAGTTGTCTACTCTTGTGCTAAGGAGGAAGCGGAACGATCTCCTGCTCTTGCATAAACTCATGCACGGTGGACCTATTGAACTTGGACGTCTTTTTTCGCTCAAATCGTCTATTACTCGGGGAAGCACTGTTGAATATAACCTTGCTAAAGCGAAGCTGAATAATAGGTGTAATAATAGGTGTCATTTCTTTACTCGCAGAGCCTTACTTCGTATGAGAAACTCGATAAAGGGGTCTTTCGGACCCTCAAGCGTCTCTACTCCCTACTCCATTTTTCAAATCAGGTCCTGACTGCAGCCAGTATATTCTATTCCTACCTGCTGCTATATTTTGCTGGTGAGCTCGCTGTATATTTTATTCGCAAGGCAGTCGAATTTTTGTACCTTGGTCGACGACCTTTGTACCGTGGCATCGATTTGCTCCGTGAGCCCACTCTGCAGTCTTCCACTGCGACAACCCTAGTGGCGGGGGTCAACTTCACTTTAAGATTAGCCACCGCCACCGGTCAGTCGTGTTATTTATTTAATGTTATTTATTTATCTATTCATACTTAGATGTTATTTACTTTGATTTGAAAGAGCTTTTGACAAGGTCATTCACTTCTTCTTGGTGCATAAAATAGAGCAAACTGGCATTCACTTCAGGATTGAAGAATTACTCAAACAACGAACCTTTTCAGGTTGTACTAAATGGTTCATTTTGTATCGTGAGAAATGCTCTCAGTGGGGTTCAGGGTAGTGCTCTGTCACCTATACTTTTCAATAATTTTTACTTTCGATTTGCCATCATTGGTGGAGGATCAGAATGTGAAAGTCAAAATGTTTGCTGATGACCTTAAGATTTACAATCCAATCCTGTCTTCCAATCAGCTTCAGCTGCAAAAGGCAATAGATGTTATAGCCCATTGGTCCAACTCGAACATGCTTCCACTATCTGCTGGCAAAACGAAAGTGCTTCATTTAGGTGAATCCAATCCTAGCATTCAGTACTACATTCATAATGATGCTATTGAAGCGGTAGATTCTTGTCTTTCGAAAACCCGCTCCTTCCGCTTTCCTGTGCGAATGCACGTTCCGTGATGCTTATTTTGACGCTACCGAGGCCACCTTGACACGTTCAGGGGCCAATGGCTCTTATTTTGTCCATTACCTTACTAGCACCTCACACGTTCAACGTGTGGATGAGGCCGGTGTTACCGATTATCGGCAGTGAACCGCAAGCAGTGAACCGCAAGGCTGAAGGCTTTTTACAAGTGCTCATCACGTTGAACGTGTGAGTGCTGTAAGGTAATGGCACAAATAGCCATTGAACTGAGTGGTCAAAGACAATTGGGGCCTCTTATGTAGCGTAATAGGGAACGCATTCGCACGGAAAGCGGAAGATGCGGGTTCGAATCCCGTCCGTGGTCCGACTTTTGCCTATAACTCAGCATTCTTGTGACAAGAGAATCGTAATTTGCCGCTCCGCCGCGGGCGGCGATGGGCCCGGCGTTTTCTTAACTCGTGTTAACCTGTCGATTGGAGACACCGGATTTCATATAGACCCCGTCATCGTAGACATTCATAACTATTTTCGCCTCTGAATTCTCTGTTGTCGCCATTACTTCCTGGAACCATTGTCATTTGCGGGCGCGACGTCGCACGCGACGCCCACCAGCGCGGTAAATCACGATTTCTTGTCGCATACCCGTTTGAATCCTAAATGTCGATTTGCGAAACTAAGTGAATGAAGTGAATGAACGTGCTTTGCAAGAAGTGTGTCATTCTGACCATATGAGAAGGGTGGTGCTGTTATCAGTCAGTTTTGTATTTCTCAGACTGGTCCATTTTCTAGCGGGGCTAAGCCACGTCATCTCTCACCTAGAGTGTGGCTTAGTTAATGTTAGCAACATGTCGCCTCTCGTGTCGGGGGGTGAAGAGGCACATGGGACTGCCGCGCTGGAGGGTGCCGCTTTTGGGAGCACTGTATTCATGTCTTTGCCCAGAACACAAGATTGCAGTCGTCTCAACAGAGGATAAGTCATGGAAAACACTCCTGCAGGTTTGAATTAGGTACGCAGCCACACTCCTCCTGATCTCCGGATATGGAGTTTACGTTGCATTTGCAATTAGTAAATAGCCGTGTACCTTCTTAGCTCCCGCTGCGACTTCCGCTGACATTGGTTTCTTCTTTTCGCAACAATGTGTGATTGAAAGGAAGGGCCGCTGAGTGCAGAAAAAATAGCAGGCGATATATGTACAACCATATGCTCGCCTCTGAATCAGTAAAACTCTACTGCAAAAAAAGTTGATGGACAGAGAAGATCTTCTTAAGTGGAACCATTAAAATAAAGAGTGTGACACCCATGAACTAACACCTATGATTGACATGCGCAGCATCGTCCGTGCCGAACTAGTGAACTACAACAGTGAAGCACACCGTGCATGATATCTTTTGTTTTGCATGGGATAACATTATCTTTCTGACTATCCACTACCGTATGCCAGTGTTATACTGTACTGGTTACTGTACTGCAGAACGGAATACAATAAAACTGCCTAGGGGGGGATAGATAACAATCTCAAAGAGAAAAAATCCCGTGATTGGCGCTCACGCTACACGGTACTACCAGGTAGAGACGTTCGAATAACGAATCTATGTGTTGCGTCTTAGTCACTTCTCCAAGGAAAAAAAAGCAAAAAAAAATTTTCTGGAAAACCCGGAGGGTTCCCCGGACCTGCTCGTTTCATGACAACAGATTGATATCCTACATCCTTCTCCCCACCTGTCGTTTTTTTGCGTCATCCAAAGCCATAGCCACCAACGGAAACAAAGCAACGAAAAACATGATGTACAAACGAAACGCGTGACAGAAAATAGCCTCTGAGTGCGTCTTGTGCAAAAATGGAACACTATTCGACGAACTATCTCACCAGCGCGAGTACAGTCGTCATGCGGGTAGTTGTTTAGGCGGTAGAAGGGCCGCAGACGCGGCTGCAGCGCGTCACGACCGCGGCGATCAGCTTGTCAGCCCTGTCTAACCATTTTCCTCATAATTTTTAGAATCACTTAGTTACTTATTAGACAACAAAATTGTGTGTGGTGTGTGTGTGTACAAAGGGCGATTTACTACCAGTAACAACTACTCCTGAGAAACGTTGAACACAGAAAAAAGAAACAAGACCCTATTTCACACAACTATGTAACGGGAAAGCGATTTTCTAAACAATGAAAAAGTATCGGATATCGGTATAGCTCTGCTCATTTTTGAAAATTCCATGCCTGCACGAAAGGTGAAAAATTTGCGCCCCAGCAGTACGCGGTTGCCGAAGAACAAGCCTGAACGTCCAACCGGTCGTAGGTGGAAAAATCGGACGGCTTGATCCGCTCTTAATGACTTGTCGCACCTACGAATTCGAGGCATAAGTAGCGAGCGTTGCGGAAAGCGAACCTTCATTAAGCGAGGCCACGTCCGCGCTAATGCGGTTGCCTCTGGTTAAGAGGAGAAGTTATTAAGCTATCCAAATTCATGGCATGAATTCATCGAAAATTTGAGAGGGTAAAAAGGTTGCTTTATATTTCAGCTATTTATTAGTTTATTATTATTTGTTATTATTAACTATTACAACTATTCAAGGAAAAACAAGTAAGCAAATCGAATAAAAATGTGTCATATAGTTTTGTTCGTAACAAATTGGGACATCTTTTTGCAGTAGGACTCTATTTGGGCACTGGATACTCCCTGCTGATAAAGCTCGTTGAATCTGAAAATAATACTTGTCTCGTTAATGGGTAAACGAAGAAAAAAATTTAAAAAAGATCCTACTGCGCCATTTGCTCAGATATTTTATCTTTCCTCTCCATGCACTCTCTTGGTAATGTCCTAACGTTCTCCGGTTCCTAAACTGTTAAATTATGAATCAAGGGGAAATAGACATCTACTAGCATCTGCAGCACTTACTTCCTTAAGACGTGTGAGGGCGGCCATGCCTTCATAGTTGAGCTTTCTCAAAATATCGATCAGAACGCTTAGCGGATGCAGCAATCGAAGGTGATCAACCGATGCCAAGACCTGTATTCTCCTGAAAAATGTCGATTATTCTGCATCTCTGGTAATTTGGAAGCTGTAAACCTGTGAAAGGCTTCGGCAAGATTAGTCGTCCTCAACTCCTCAACTTTCCACTTGCACCACAAACTCTTTGAACGGCCCACTCAGCCAGGTGGTTTCCAAATAGTTAAGGAAATCTTGGCATCTGTCATGCAAGTCGCCACTCGGCACCGGTGGACCGCGTAGTGCTCGTACTTCAGGCCACAGATCTTGCGGGAGGAATACCATTCCTGCAGATATGTATGTACTATTAATTTGCACACAATGAACAAAAAAATTCACGCTACCTTTTAGCGTTTCCCACCAGTTGACCACGCGTTTATCCTTATCACTGTGCCTTTCATACACATCTGGAGCCCCAAAAGGTGGGTTTCTTTTGTGGTTCCACGCTTGCGCCAGGTGGAAGGCACATCCTTCAACAGTCGCATTTGGGAATACCTTATTGGCCGCATGGTTGGCAGCTTTTTTCGAATGCAAGCACTATGGCGCTGGGTTGTTTCACCTAAGCAGACTCCGTTTCATAGGTTTGCTACGAATACTTTCTTTGTTACCCGCGACGCAGTTTTCTTTTCCATTATGCAGGACATCAGTGGCACATCAAGGTCTTGGTTGCAGACACCGTGCACGCAGTACAGCTGCGCAGCCCCAAGGTCTTCGGCTGCAAGTTGTGAGACCCGTCGGCCACAATGCCATACCCATTCTCGGCGCCATCTGAAAAAGTGTTATAACCTTTACTTGGAATGTTATGTTTACTGTAGTACACTGATGGTGGCGGGTCGGAGAAATAAAATGTGACCCCGGCTCGTCCGGTTGCGCAGAACGTAGGCCATTCATGAAGCTTTTGCGGGAACTCCTCCGAGCACGCTTTCCCATCGTAACTGAGCGATCACCCACTTTCGCAAGTCTCTTAAATATTGACTTGGTATAAATTCGAGAAATGAGCCGATCTACGAATGTTTGCTCTGATGGAGTCCTCCATTCCCGCTGTAATAGTAATGTGAAACTAGGAAGCAACACTGCGAAATATCACAGATAAACTACCGTTGTCCGCTTCTCGACGCTGGGCCACGACATCGAAAAATACCTGCATGGCTTTATTGCAGCGTATTTGGGTCCTCCCTAACATGTTTCAGCTCCTGAAAAGCATCCTCTGTCTATTCTTGAACTGCCTTGAAGATGGCTACACTTCACCTCGCAGACGGCTCTGTCTCCTCTCTCTCTGACATACTTTTCTGGTCGGCATTCATGGTCCAGCCTGCACGGATCCGTCAGAAACTCGTCACCGATTACCTGAAAAGTAATTGTCGGATACATTCACGAAATCCCAGCTGGATTTGACTTTCGTCAATGAATTTGAAATGAATTGAGCTTTTTTTTTGCATCGTATGTCTTAGTTTGAAAGTTAGGCATTATACCACTCTATTCAGTTTGACAGGTAGAGCTAACTTATTGTATTTTGTAGACCTTCTTCCCTTTGGAAGATCTTCACGTTTTTTTGAATCTGTTCTGTTAAGAGTTTTCACTCAATTTTGTTACGATCTTGATAGCTCGTGCGTGCCTCGGCTTAATGAGGTCGCTTCGCACCTCATAATGACGTCCCTTCGCACCTCGTTAATTATGCCTCGAATCGTAGGTGCGACAAGTCATTAACGAGGTCAACCGTCCCATTTTCTACTGACCCTCCAACCTCTAGTCCTAAGAAGGGGGTTGACTTTCTTTTTTTTTTTTTTTTTTTTTTTTTTTTTTTTTTTTTTTTTTTTTTTTTTTTTTTTTTTTTTTTTTTTTTTTTTTTTTTTTTTTTTTTTTTTTTTTTTTTTTTTTTTTTTTTTTTTTTTTTTTTTTTTTTTTTTTTTTTTTTTTTTTTTTTTTTTTTTTTTTTTTTTTTTTTTTTTTTTTTTTTTTTTTTTTTTTTTTTTTTTTTTTTTTTTTTTTTTTTTTTTTTTTTTTTTTTTTTTTTTTTTTTTTTTTTTTTTTTTTTTTTTTTTTTTTTTTTTTTTTTTTTTTTTTTTTTTTTTTTTTTTTTTTTTTTTTTTTTTTTTTTTTTTTTTTTTTTTTTTTTTTTTTTTTTTTTTTTTTTT